GACCACCACCCAACTAGACCACCACCCAACTAGACCACCATCCAACTAGACCACCATCCAACTAGACCACCATCCCAACTAGACCACCACCCAACTAGACCACCACCAGAATACCGGTAGATGCCTTCAACATGTGCAGGCACCCTCTGAAGCTAGAGACATGATGTCTGTTTGTTTTCCTGTTCAGGCCTACATGTCAAATTAAATAAACTACTACTACTAATACATATAGTAGCCCTCAGGGACTTACTGGGAACACTATCTGTAGTGTAGACAAGCTGTTTACTGATGGATCAAGAGGGACTATCTGTAGTGTAGACAAGCTGTTTAATGCTGGAGGTTTATGGGTTTATTAGTATGAGGAGGCCAGTATATAAAGAGGAGGTTTATGGGTTTATTAGTATGAGGAGGCCAGTATATAAAGAGGAGGTTTATGCGTTTATTAGTTTGAGGAAGCCAGGTCACCTCCTTCCTGATGGTGAGCTCCAGGGTCTCCACCGTCTCCTCCTTGTCCAGGCCATGGAGATTCTCATGGAGGTTCTCCTTCCTCCGGGGGGTGTACGGAACAAAGTTCTCCTCCAGGTGCAGGAACACCACCGGCTCCTCTCGCACACAGAAGAACATCACCTCCTGGGAAGAGAGAGGAGAGGAGAGGAGAGGAGAGGAGAGGAGAGGAGAGGAGAGGAGAGGAGAGGAGAGGAGAGGAGAGGAGAGGAGAGGAGAGGAGAGGAGAGGAGAGGAGAGGAGAGGAGAGGAGAGGAGAGGAGGAGAGGAGATACAAGAAATCATGGCCTACATTCAAAAAGAGTCAGTAATTAATAAGATTATAAAGACAAGGGGAACCTGATCCTCTAACTGAGATGCTTTTTGAATACGGTGCCAGGAACAATAATAATTCCACAGGCCAGTTATTTGGTTCTAGAATCTGTAAAGCTTTGTTCCAAACCCAATTGGAAACATTCCGTTGTCATTTGACCGTCAGGAATTTATCATGCGCTCGCTGCTATATAATTAAGTCAATTTCATTTCAATTACAGTGAGTTTCCATACTGGACTCACAACCCTGATAGATATTCATTATTTTCCATCATTCAACATGACTGAGGATGTGTCCCCCAAATGGCACCCTATTCCCTATACAGTGCCCTATGGGCCCTGGTCAAAAACAGTAGACTACATAGGGAATAGGGTGCCATTTGCGACACAGCCTGCCTGGGTTGGGTTTGCTTAGTGGCACAGTGCGTCCGTCTGTCCCACAGCATGGACAGAGTGCCTGACCCCTCAAATATTTATCCACAACACAGTTAGAAAGAACAACACAGTTAGAAAGACAGCAGGCTGAAGAGAAGACACAGACAGACAGACAGACACAGACAGACACTGATACAGAGACAGACAGACAGACACAGACAGACACTGATACACAGACAGACAGACAGACACAGACAGACACTGATACACAGACAGACAGACAGACACAGACAGACACTGATACAGAGACAGACAGACAGACACAGATACACAGACAGACAGACAGACACAGATACAGAGACAGACAGACAGACAGACACAGACAGACACTGATACAGAGACAGACAGACACTGATACACAGACAGACACTGATACACAGACAGACAGACAGACAGACAGACAGACAGACAGACAGACAGACAGACAGACAGACAGACACTGATACAGACAGACAGACACAGACAGACACAGAAACCGACAGAGACACACAGAGACAGACAGACAGAGACAGACAGAGACAGACAGACAGAGACAGACAGAGAAGAGAGAGAGCGACAGAGAGAGAGAGCCCTATGGATCCTGGTCAAAAGTAGTGCACTATGAAGGAAATAGGGTTCCATTTGGGACGCACAAAGTAAACAAATATCACCCTGAGGGCAGTGCACTAACCTCATGCCCTTGACTCTGTAACCTTTGGAGGACCTGTTTGAAGCCATTCAGGCTGGGCTGGCCCATGCCGTAGAGCGGGTAGCTTCCTTTCACCTGGCGGTAGTTTGGCGCTCCGTAGCTGCCTGTAGTGTTCAGGACATCAGCCTTGCTGTACACGTCCTGGACCAGGAAGAACTCACCCTACAGACATACAGTACAGTCAATCAACCAATGAAATACGTGGCTATATAAAGCTCCTTTTTACGTCAACAGTTGTCGTTGGGGGTTACAGTAGAGTCAGTATAGGGAACACTTTAAGGCTCCCTACATATCTACCAGGACTTCATAACACATTCATACAAGGTGATCTACAGTGGGGAAAAAAAGTATTTAGTCAGCCACCAATTGTGCAAGTTCTCCCACTTAAAAAGATGAGAGAGGCCTGTAATTTTCATCATAGGTACACGTCATCTATGACAGACAAAATGAGAAAAAAAATCCAGAAAATCACATTGTAGGATTTTTAATGAATTTATTTGCAAATTATGGTGGAAAATAAGTATTTGGTCAATGACAAAAGTTTGTCAATACTTTGTTATATACCCTTTGTTGGCAATGACACAGGTCAAACGTTTTCTGTAAGTCTTCACAAGGTTTTCACACACTGTTGCTGGTATTTTGGCCCATTCCTCCATGCAGATCTCCTCTAGAGCAGTGATGTTTTGGGGCTGTCGCTGGGCAACATGGACTTTCAACTCCCTCCAAATATTTTCTATTGAGTTGAGATCTGGAGACTGGCTAGGCCACTCCAGGACCTTGAAATGCTTTTTACGAAGCCACTCCTTCGTTGCCCGGGCGGTGTGTTTGTGATCATTGTCATACTGAAAGACCCAGCCACGTTTCATCTTCAATGCCCTTGCTGATGGAAGGAGGTTTTCACTAAAAATCTCACGATACATGGCCCCATTCATTCTTTCCTTTACACGGATCAGTCGTCCTGGTCCCTTTGCAGAAAAACAGCCCCAAAGCATGATGTTTCCACCCCCATGCTTCACAGTAGGTATGGTGTTCTTTGGATGCAACTCAGCATTCTTTGTCCTCCAAACACGACGAGTTGAGTTTTTACCAAAAAGTTATATTTTGGTTTCATCTGACCATATGACATTCTCCCAATCCTCTTCTGGATCATCCAAATGCACTCTAGCAAACTTCAGACGGGCCTGGACATGTACTGGCTTAAGCAGGGGGACACGTCTGTCACTGCAGGATTTGAGTCCCTGGTGGCGTAGTGTGTTACTGATGGTAGGCTTTGTTACATTGGTCCCAGCTCTCTGCAGGTCATTCACTAGGTCCCCCCGTGTGGTTTTGGGATTTTTGCTCACCATTCTTGTGATCATTTTGACCCCACGGGGTGAGATCTTGCGTGGAGCCCCAGATCGAGGGACATTATCAGTGGTCTTGTATGTCTTCCATTTCCTAATAATTGCTCCCGTGGTTGATTTCTTCAAACCAAGCTGCTTACCTATTGCAGATTCAGTCTTCCCAGCCTGGTGCAGGTCTACAATTTTGTTTCTGGTGTCCTTTGACAGCTCTTTGGTCTTGGCCATAGTGGAGTTTGGAGTGTGACTGTTTGAGGTTGTGGACAGGTGTCTTTTATACTGATAACATGTTCAAACAGGTGCCATTAATACAGGTAACGAGTGGAGGACAGAGGAGCCTCTTAAAGAAGAAGTTACAGGTCTGTGAGAGCCAGAAATCTTGCTTGTTTGTAGGTGACCAAATACTTATTTTCCACCATAATTTGTAAATAAATTCATTAAAAATCCTACAATGTGATTTTCTGGATATTTTTTTCTCATTTTGTCTGTCATAGTTGACGTGTACCTATGATGAAAATTACAGGCCTCTCTCATCTTTTTAAGTGGGAGAACTTGCACAATTGGTGGCTGACTAAATACTTTTTTTCCCCACTGTATGTGAGTAAACTAACTCCTCGGTAACAATAAGGGGCTCTGCATGCCTGAACAGCTCTGTGACAGGTGATAGGAGGATCAAAGGACCAATGGGAGAGGTGACAATGCTCCACTCAACGGCCACGCATGATCATAAAAACAACGCATTCCAATGTCCTCTTGGACACATCAATGTGAAGTAACAAAGGGGTAGGGCTTGGAGAGAGAGGGTTTGGGTCCAGGCCTCCTCTCTTCTTAAGTATCTCAATGTAAATGCTGAACAAAACAATGCTGATGGTTGGGGGAAGCGCTGTGGTGTGTTTTGGATGGTTGGGGGAAGCGCTGTGGTGTGTTTTGGATGGTTGGGGGAAGCGCTGTGGTGTGTTTTGGATGGTTGGGGGAAGCGCTGTGGTGTGTTTTGGATGGTTGGGGGAAGCGCTGTGGTGTGTTTTGGATGGTTGGGGGAAGCGCTGTGGTGTGTTTTGGATGGTTGGGGGAAGCGCTGTGGTATGTTTTGTTCCTACCTGAACCAAGTAGTGTTCGGGCATTGAGTCTGATATCCGGCCCACTTTGTAGTTTGTCCTGAGGAGGTCATCGTGGATCTGAAATTCCTGTCTGCAATTATATCTATAATACAGAAGATAATGTAGCCGTCATCTTCAACATGGTGCAACAAAGCATTCAATCCCTCTTAGGGGTCCTAAGGTTCCCACTGGAGACCGACCGAACATTGCATTTATCAGATAAGATAAATAAGCCTATCTTTTGAATCCAAGACGGAACAATTAGATAACAGCACAACAACACACACACAACCCACCACCCCACACACACTTCACCCAACATCCCCATCCATTCACCCCTTAGTGATCAAAGCCACAGGGATGAACATCCTAACATCCCTTGGTTCGTCCTTACGTGATGACGACGGGTGCGACCTTGTTAGTGATGATGGACTTGGCCTTGCTGCCGTGGATGTTCACCATCTGGGAAGAGCTCGTGTTGAGAGACTGCCTGCTGTTCGCCATCCCGTTGCCATGGATACTCTCAAGCGGAGGAGGATGACGGGGTGCTGCTACAGAGGATATGGAGCCTGACACAGAGACGGGTTGTGGCGCAGTGCTGGCAGTTGTACCCATACTCCACAAGCAGCTGGGAACGACAAGGGAACAGAGGAGAGGACTTAGACTCAAGACACAGGAAGTCAAACAGAGGAACAGAGGAGAGGACTTGGGACTCAGATACAGGAAGTCAAACAGAGGAACAGAGGAGAGGACTTGGGACTCAGATACAGGAAGTCAAACAGAGGAACAGAGGAGAGGACTTGGGACTCAGATACAGGAAGTCAAACAGAGGAACAGAGGAGAGGACTTGGGACTCAGACACAGGAAGTCAAACAGAGGAACAGAGGAGAGGACTTGGACTCAGACACAGGAAGTCAAACAGAGGAACAGGAGTGAGGACTCACACTCACACTCCCTCTGAGACACACTTGCATGCACACTATTGGTGTTTCACAAATCTGTGTCGATTCAAACACTACCACATTCAAACACTACCACATTCAAATTGTAACCAACTGATTGAAAAGAGGAAATGTATGAAGAGTGAAATATAACAACGTGAGAATTTTTCTCATTGCTTTCTTGATGATATTTCTACAGTACTTCCACCAGCTTTCTCAGAAAATACCAAGCTGTAAACCACCATTCTACTAGATCTGTAACACCACATTCTGAACCGTAATGTTCCATTTTCAAGACTCCTCTCCTAGAAGCAGGCTAAAGGGTTACATCAATCCTGAGGTTGGATGTATTTAAATGTTAATTATAGCCCCTCTGCTGCAGCCTGCACAACAATCTGAGCAGGCATCCATCTGCAGCACCTCTCTGAATAAACCCAGGGCTTTGCATCTGAAATGGTACCCTATTCCCTAGTGCACTTCTTTTGACCAGAGCGCAATGAGCTCAGGTCAAAAGTAGTGCACTATATAGGGAATATGGTGCCATTTGAGACAAAGCCACATGGCTTTGCAGTGAAGCTCTACAGATAAACAAAAGATGAGCCTCCCCGCCACTCTGCTCCACTCAGACCAGCCAGCAGGGGCCAACCCCAACCCCGATCCTCACTACTCCACAGCTGGCCTGAGACCAACGGCAGCCCCTCCATCCCCCTAAACACACACACAGAGAGACATGCAGACACAGAGACAGACACAAGGACACACACACAGTCAGTCACACACACACACACACACACACAAACACACAATCCATTCCACTTCCACCCTTGTGCATCTAGAAAGAGACTTCGGAAATATATGTCCTTTTCAGATCAAACTTGCTAGGAAAATATACAAGGAATCCATTCCATAAGCAGACAACATGGAATTCACACACCAAAGGAAAGGTATCTACCCTGCCCTCCAGCCAGTCCAGAGAGGTAGCCCTCCAGTCCAGTTCAGAGAGGTAGCCCTCCGGTCCAGTTCAGAGAGGTGGCCCTCCGGTCCAGTTCAGAGAGGTAGCCCTACAGTCCAGTTCAGAGAGGTAGCCCTCCAGCCAGTCCACTTCAGAGAGGTAGCCCTCCAGCCAGTCCACTTCAGAGAGGTAGCCCTCCAGCCAGTCCACTTCAGAGAGGTAGCCCTCCAGTCCACTTCAGAGAGGTAGCCCTCCAGTCCACTTCAGAGAGGTAGCCCTCCAGTCCAGTTCAGAGAGGTAGCCCTCCAGTCCACTTCAGAGAGGTAGCCCTCCAGTCCGGTTCAGAGAGGTAGCCCTCCAGTCCAGTTCAGAGAGGTAGCCCTACAGTCCAGTTCAGAGAGGTAGCCCTACAGTCCAGTTCAGAGACGTAGCCCTACAGTCCACTTCAGAGAGGTAGCCCTGCAGTCCACTTCAGAGAGGTAGCCCTCCAGTCCACTTCAGAGAGGTAGCCCTCCAGTCCGGTTCAGAGAGGTAGCCCTCCAGTCCGGTTCAGAGAGGTAGCCCTCCAGTCCGGTTCAGAGAGGTAGCCCTCCAGTCCGGTTCAGAGAGGTAGCCCTCCAGTCCGGTTCAGAGAGGTAGCCCTCCAGTCCAGTTCAGAGAGGTAGCCCTCCAGTCCAGTTCAGAGAGGTAGCCCTCCAGTCCAGTTCAGAGAGGTAGCCCTCCAGTCCAGTTCAGAGAGGTAGCCCTACAGTCCAGTTCAGAGAGGTAGCCCTACAGTCCAGTTCAGAGAGGTAGCCCTACAGTCCAGTTCAGAGAGGTAGCCCTACAGTCCAGTTCAGAGAGGTAGCCCTACAGTCCAGTTCAGAGAGGTAGCCCTCCAGTCCAGTTCAGAGAGGTAGCCCTCCAGTCCAGTTCAGAGAGGTAGCCCTCCAGTCCAGTTCAGAGGTAGCCCTACAGTCCAGTTCAGAGAGGTAGCCCTACAGTCCAGTTCAGAGAGGTAGCCCTACAGTCCAGTTCAGAGAGGTAGCCCTACAGTCCAATTCAGAGAGGAAGTCGCTCCTGTGTCACTGTTCTGACAGACAGACAGACAGACAGACAGACAGACAGACAGACAGAGAGAGCGAGAAGGTCAGATGAGAGAGAGGGGGCAGGTCAGCCTAGCACTGAGAGACTAGTCTTACTTTGGTAGAAGGATTCTCAGTCCAAACTTGACAACAGATGGCCACTTCATAACTATTTCAAACAACTAGGTACAGAGGACTGTCAAGATTTCCGCTTCTTCTGTCAATAAACCAGATGTCCTAGCTGTCCTAGTCATCAGTATCTTTACTACTGAACAACTAGTCATTGAATATGATCATCAGTATCTATAATACTGAACAACTAGTCATTGAATATGATCATCAGTATCTTTACTACTGAACAACTAGTCATTGAATATGATCATCAGTATCTCCCGAGTGGCGCAGTGGTCTAAGGCACTGCATCGCAGTGCTAGCTGTGCCACTAGAGATCCTGGTTCGAATCCAGGCTCTGTCATAGCCGGCCGTGACCGGGAGACCCATGGGGTGACGCACAATTGGCCCAGCGTCGTCCAGGGTAGGGGAGGGAATGGCCGGCAGGGTTGTGGGTTCGTTTCCCACGGGGGGCCAGTATGAAAAAAATAAAATAATAATAATAATAATGGTTGCACTCACTAACTGTAAGTGGCTCTGGATAAGAGTGTCTGCTAAAATGTAAATGTAAATCTATTCTACTGAACAACTAGTCATTGAATATGCTCATCAGTATCGCAGGTGGTTGTGTGAATAGCAGTCTTTCTTTGTCCTCCTTCAACTAAACAACTGAAAGCACAGCAAACCTTTTCTATCCAATCACAATCCAAATATTATGCTGGTCAGAGACTCCACGCTGGTCAGAGACTCCACGCTGGTCAGAGACTCCACGCTGGTCAGACTCCACGCTGGTCAGACTCCACGCTGGTCAGAGACTCCACGCTGGTCTGAGACTCCACGCTGGTCAGACTCCACGCTGGTCAGACTCCACGCTGGTCAGAGACTCCACGCTGGTCAGAGACTCCAGGCTGGTCTGAGACTCCACGCTGGTCAGACTCCACGCTGGTCAGACTCCACGCTGGTCAGAGACTCCACGCTGGTCAGACTCCACGCTGGTCAGAGACTCCACGCTGGTCAGAGACTCCAGGCTGGTCTGAGACTCCACGCTGGTCAGACTCCACGCTGGTCAGAGACTCCACGCTGGTCTGAGACTCCACGCTGGTCAGACTCCACGCTGGTCAGAGACTCCACGCTGGTCTGAGACTCCACGCTGGTCAGAGACTCCACGCTGGTCAGAGACTCCACGCTGGTCAGAGACTCCACGCTGGTCAGAGACTCCACGCTGGTCAGAGACTCCACGCTGGTCAGAGACTCCACGCTGGTCTGAGACTCCACGCAGGTCAGACTCCACGCTGGTCAGAGACTCCACGCTGGTCAGAGACTCCATGCAGGTCAGACTCCATGCCCTCCTCTGCTGTGACTGTGCCGCTTGTTTTCCGCCATGTTCCAAATTGTGAACTTGGCATCACATCCCCAAACATTCCTTCCCTCTGGGTCTCAAGCTCCTTCCACCCATCAGAGCTTCCACAGTCTGACACTTGAATGCCCCCTTACTTACCTCTGGTAGCAGCTAGTGTGTGCTTATTGCCCCAGTCTAACAACGTAGGGTCTTCCCTCTGGTAGCAGCTAGTGTGTGCTTATTGCCCCAGTCTAACAACGTAGGGTCTTACCTCTGGTAGCAGCTAGTGTGTGCTTATTGCCCCAGTCTAACAACGTAGGGTCTTCTCTCTGGTAGCAGCTAGTGTCTGCTTATTGCCCCAGTCTAACAACGTAGGGTCTTCTCTCTGGTAGCAGCTAGTGTGTGCTTATTGCCCCAGTCTAACAACGTAGGGTCTTCTCTCTGGTAGCAGCTAGTGTGTGCTTATTGCCCCAGTCTAACAACGTAGGGTCTTACCTCTGATAGCAGCTAGTGTGTGCTTATTGCCCCAGTCTAACAACGTAGGGTCTTCTCTCTGGTAGCAGCTAGTGTGTGCTTATTGCCCCAGTCTAACAACGTAGGGTCTTCTCTCTGGTAGCAGCTAGTGTGTGCTTATTGCCCCAGTCTAACAACGTAGGGTCTTACCTCTGGTAGCAGCTAGTGTGTGCTTATTGCCCCAGTCTAACAACGTAGGGTCTTACCTCTGGTAGCAGCTAGTGTGTGCTTATTGCCCCAGTCTAACAACGTAGGGTCTTACCTCTGGTAGCAGCTAGTGTGTGCTTATTGCCCCAGTCTAACAACGTAGGGTCTTCCCTCTGGTAGCAGCTAGTGTGTGCTTATTGCCCCAGTCTAACAACGTAGGGTCTTACCTCTGGTAGCAGCTAGTGTGTGCTTATTGCCCCAGTCTAACAACGTAGGGTCTTCTCTCTGGTAGCAGCTAGTGTCTGCTTATTGCCCCAGTCTAACAACGTAGGGTCTTCTCTCTGGTAGCAGCTAGTGTGTGCTTATTGCCCCAGTCTAAACAACGTAGGGTCTTCTCTCTGGTAGCAGCTAGTGTGTGCTTATTGCCCCAGTCTAACAACGTAGGGTCTTCTCTCTGGTAGCAGCTAGTGTGTGCTTATTGCCCCAGTCTAACAACGTAGGGTCTTCTCTCTGGTAGCAGCTAGTGTGTGCTTATTGCCCCAGTCTAACAACGTAGGGTCTTCTCTCTAGTAGCAGCTAGTGTGTGCTTATTGCCCCAGTCTAACAACGTAGGGTCTTCTCTCTGGTAGCAGCTAGTGTGTGCTTATTGCCCCAGTCTAACAACGTAGGGTCTTCTCTCTACTTCATGCTGTCCTCTTTGTGTAGGGAGGAGTGAGTGAACTTCATGCTGTCCTCTTTGTGTAGGGAGGAGTGAGTGAACTTCATGCTGTCCTCTTTGTGTAGGGAGGAGTGAGTGAACTTCATGCTGTCCTCTTTGTGTAGGGAGGAGTGAGTGAACTTCATGCTGTCCTCTTTGTGTAGGGAGGAGTGAGTGAACGTCATGCTGTCCTCTTTGTGTAGGGAGGAGTGAGTGAACTTCATGCTGTCCTCTTTGTGTAGGGAGGAGTGAGTGAACTTCATGCTGTCCTCTTTGTGTAGGGAGGAGTGAGTGAACTTCATGCTGTCCTCTTTGTGTAGGGAGGAGTGAGTGAACGTCATGCTGTCCTCTTTGTGTAGGGAGGAGTGAGTGAACTTCATGCTGTCCTCTTTGTGTAGGGAGGAGTGAGTGAACTTCATGCTGTCCTCTTTGTGTAGGGAGGAGTGAGTGAACTTCATGCTGTCCTCTTTGTGTAGGGAGGAGTGAGTGAACTTCATGCTGTCCTCTTTGTGTAGGGAGGAGTGAGTGAACGTCATGCTGTCCTCTTTGTGTAGGGAGGAGTGAGTGAACTTCATGCTGTCCTCTTTGTGTAGGGAGGAGTGAGTGAACGTCATGCTGTCCTGCCTGTCTGTTCCCTTGGGGGCCAGTACATCTGGCTGCCAGATGGCTGTAGTGGGGCCGGAGGGGTGGCCATTGCACTATGAAGGGAATAGGGTCCCATTGGGGACAGAGCGGAGGTTGTGGCTATCACATGGCAGCGGGGACAGAGGCAGGCAGGCAGGCAGGCAGGCAGGCAGACAGGCAGACAGGCAGACAGGCAGACAGGCAGACAGGCAGACAGGCAGACAGGCAGACAGACAGGCAGGCAGGCAGTAATTCAGGTCACAGCAGACAGGAAACACAGAGCCAGGAGCAGACTCTGGCAGCATCCCAAATGGCACCCTAATCCTTAGTACACTACTTTTGACTAAAGCCATATGGGCCCTGGTCCAAAGTAGTGCACTATATAAGAAATAGGGTGCCATTTGGGACGCATCCTCTGAACCCTCTGTCATCATGTCTATACTAACCACTTCATCTCAATGTCCACAAATTACAATCAACCATATATACAGCGTTAATATTTGCCCATACTTTACTATAACAGAGTTGGACATAAGAAAAACATTCCCTTTTATGAGTTGACCGTCCAGTAACCAGAGGTCAATATACTGTATTCAGCAGTATCATTAAAACACTCATTCCCTCGACTCCACTACAGAACATTCAGATTCTCTGTAGGCTAGTTGAGATACTCTGTAGGCTAGTTGAGATACTCTGTAGGCTAGTTGAGATACTCTGTAGGCTAGTTGAGATACTCTGTAGGCTAGTTGAGATACTCTGTAGGCTAGTTGAGATACTCTGTAGGCTAGTTGAGATTCTCTGTAGGCTAGTTGAGATACTCTGTAGGCTAGTTGAGATTCTCTGTAGGCTAGTTGAGATTCTCTGTAGGCTAGTTGAGATACTCTGTAGGCTAGTTGAGATACTCTGTAGGCTAGTTGAGATTCTCTGTAGGCTAGTTGAGATTCTCTGTAGGCTAGTTGAGATTCTCTGTAGGCTAGTTGAGATACTCTGTAGGCTAGTTGAGATTCTCTGTAGGCTAGTTGAGATACTCTGTAGGCTAGTTGAGATTCTCTGTAGGCTAGTTGAGATTCTCTGTAGGCTAGTTGAGATTCTCTGTAGGCTAGTTGAGATACTCTGTAGGCTAGTTGAGATACTCTGTAGGCTAGTTGAGATACTCTGTAGGCTAGTTGAGATACTCTGTAGGCTAGTTGAGATACTCTGTAGGACTATTTGTATGTTTTTAAAAGCCATTACATCAACTGGTTTTTAAATGAGATGGTCTCCTCAGAGAAACAAACAAACACACACACACACTTTGGCCATGGTTGCACATAGGATATCAAGCAAACTGTGTAACCACTGTGACTTTAAGGGAATCTGATCATCAGATCTCCTGTGTCCAACACAATCATGCTATTGTCCTGTACAGGCCAGGGTATATACCAGGGGCCAGGGTATAGGCCAGGGAATAAACCAGGGTATAAGCCATTACATTAAAGGCAATAAAACACTGCAGTGATAAAGCAAGCATTCTTACATGATTCTCGATTCGATTACGACCATGTGAATGAATGTGACTGTGTAAGCAACGGCATTCTGAAATGGTTTCATTAAATCCCTTGAGTCTCCTTTCATTGACATTTCCTGAGAAAGATGATTGATGATTTATATATAAATAAGAGAGAGAGAGAGAGAGAGACAGAGAGAGAGAGAGAGAGAGAGAGAGAGAGAGAGAGAGAGAGAGAGAGAGAGAGAGA